TTAACTCCCTGTAAATACCCCCTACTATCCCATGTTTTAGTCTGTAGTTAACTCCCTGTTAATACCCCTCTACTATCCCATGTTTTAGTCTGTAGTTAACTCCCTGTAAATACCCCCTACTATCCCATGTTTTAGTCTGTAGTTAACTCCCTGTAAATACCCCCTACTATCCCATGTTTTAGTCTGTAGTTAACTCCCTGTAAATACCCCCTACTATCCCATGTTTTAGTCTGTAGTTAACTCCCTGTAAATACCCCCTACTATCCCATGTTTTAGTCTGTAGTTAACTCCCTGTAAATACCCCCTACTATCCCATGTTTTAGTCTGTAGTTAACTCCCTGTAAATACCCCCTACTATCCCATGTTTTCGTCTGTAGTTAACTCCCTGTAAATACCCCCTACTATCCCATGTTTTAGTCTGTAGTTAACTCCCTGTAAATACCCCCTACTATCCCATGTTTTAGTCTGTAGTTAACTCCCTGTAAATACCCCCTACTATCCCATGTTTTAGTCTGTCCCATGTTTTAGTCTGTAGTTAACTCCCTGTAAATACCCCCTACTATCCCATGTTTTAGTCTGTAGTTAACTCCCTGTAAATACCCCCTACTATCCCATGTTTTAGTCTGTAGTTAACTCCCTGTAAATACCCCCTACTATCCCATGTTTTAGTCTGTAGTTAACTCCCTGTAAATACCCCCTACTATCCCATGTTTTAGTCTGTAGTTAACTCCCTGTAAATACCCCCTGTAAATACCCCCTACTATCCCATGTTTTAGTCTGTAGTTAACTCCCTGTAAATACCCCCTACTATCCCATGTTTTAGTCTGTAGTTAACTCCCTGTAAATACCCCCTACTATCCCATGTTTTAGTCTGTAGTTAACTCCCTGTAAATACCCCCTACTATCCCATGTTTTAGTCTGTAGTTAACTCCCTGTAAATACCCCCTACTATCCCATGTTTTAGTCTGTAGTTAACTCCCTGTAAATACCCCCTACTATCCCATGTTTTAGTCTGTAGTTAACTCCCTGTAAATACCCCCTACTATCCCATGTTTTAGTCTGTAGTTAACTCCCTGTAAAATATCCCCCCTACTATCCCATGTTTTAGTCTGTAGTTAACTCCCTGTAAATACCCCCTACTATCCCATGTTTTAGTCTGTAGTTAACTCCCTGTAAATACCCCCTACTATCCCATGTTTTAGTCTGTAGTTAACTCCCTGTAAATACCCCCTACTATCCCATGTTTTAGTCTGTAGTTAACTCCCTGTAAATACCCCCTACTATCCCATGTTTTAGTCTGTAGTTAACTCCTTGTAAATACCCCCTACTATCCCATGTTTTAGTCTGTAGTTAACTCCCTGTAAATACCCCCTACTATCCCATGTTTTAGTCTGTAGTTAACTCCCTGTAAATACCCCCTACTATCCCATGTTTTAGTCTGTAGTTAACTCCCTGTAAATACCCCCTACTATCCCATGTTTTAGTCTGTAGTCTGTAGTTAACTCCCTGTAAATACCCCCTACTATCCCATGTTTTAGTCTGTAGTTAACTCCCTGTAAATACCCCCTACTATCCCATGTTTTAGTCTGTAGTTAACTCCCTGTAAATACCCCCTACTATCCCATGTTTTAGTCTGTAGTTAACTCCCTGTAAATACCCCCTACTATCCCATGTTTTAGTCTGTAGTTAACTCCCTGTAAATACCCCCTACTATCCCATGTTTTAGTCTGTAGTTAACTCCCTGTAAATACCCCCTACTATCCCATGTTTTAGTCTGTAGTTAACTCCCTGTAAATACCCCCTACTATCCCATGTTTTAGTCTGTAGTTAACTCCCTGTAAATACCCCCTACTATCCCATGTTTTAGTCTGTAGTTAACTCCCTGTAAATACCCCCTACTATCCCATGTTTTAGTCTGTAGTTAACTCCCTGTAAATACCCCCTACTATCCCATGTTTTAGTCTGTAGTTAACTCCCTGTAAATAACCCCTACTATCCCATGTTTTAGTCTGTAGTTAACTCCCTGTAAATACCCCCTACTATCCCATGTTTTAGTCTGTAGTTAACTCCCTGTAAATACCCCCTACTATCCCATGTTTTAGTCTGTAGTTAACTCCCTGTAAATACCCCCTACTATCCCATGTTTTAGTCTGTAGTTAACTCCCTGTAAATACCCCCTACTATCCCATGTTTTAGTCTGTAGTTAACTCCCTGTAAATACCCCCCTACTATCCCATGTTTTAGTCTGTAGTTAACTCCCTGTAAATACCCCCTACTATCCCATGTTTTAGTCTGTAGTTAACTCCCTGTAAATACCCCCTACTATCCCATGTTTTAGTCTGTAGTTAACTCCCTGTAAATACCCCCTACTATCCCATGTTTTAGTCTGTAGTTAACTCCCTGTAAATACCCCCTACTATCCCATGTTTTAGTCTGTAGTTAACTCCCTGTAAATACCCCCTACTATCCCATGTTTTAGTCTGTAGTTAACTCCCTGTAAACTCCCTGTAAATACCCCCTACTATCCCATGTTTTAGTCTGTAGTTAACTCCCTGTAAATACCCCCTACTATCCCATGTTTTAGTCTGTAGTTAACTCCCTGTAAATACCCCCTACTATCCCATGTTTTAGTCTGTAGTTAACTCCCTGTAAATACCCCCCTACTATCCCATGTTTTAGTCTGTAGTTAACTCCCTGTAAATACCCCCCTACTATCCCATGTTTTAGTCTGTAGTTAACTCCCTGTAAATACCCCCTACTATCCCATGTTTTAGTCTGTAGTTAACTCCCTGTAAATACCCCCTACTATCCCATGTTTTAGTCTGTAGTTAACTCCCTGTAAATACCCCCTACTATCCCATGTTTTAGTCTGTAGTTAACTCCCTGTAAATACCCCCTACTATCCCATGTTTTAGTCTGTAGTTAACTCCCTGTAAATACCCCCTACTATCCCATGTTTTAGTCTGTAGTTAACTCCCTGTAAATACCCCCTACTATCCCATGTTTTAGTCTGTAGTTAACTCCCTGTAAATACCCCCTACTATCTCATTTTTTAGTCTGTAGTTAACTCCCTGTTAATACCCCCTACTAAACCATGTTTTAGTCTGTAGTTAACTCCCTGTAAATACCTCCCTACTGTAACACCCAGTACCTCTACAGTAACACCTTGTACTTTTACTGTAACATCCTGTGCATCTATAGCAACACCCTGTACCTCTACAGTAACACCCTGTACATCTACAGTAACACCCTGTACTTCTACTGTAACACCTTGTACCTCTACAGTAACACCCTGTACCTCTACTGTAACACCTTGTACCTCTACTGTAACACCCTGTACCTCTACAGTAACACCCTGTACATCTACAGTAACACCCTGTACGTCTACCCTAACACCCTGTACATTTACAGGTAACACCCTGTACCTCTACAGGTAACATCCTTAAAACTCTATAGTAACACCCTGTACCTCTACTGTAACACCCTGTACGTCTACTGTAACACCATGTATCTCTATAGTTACACCCCGTAACTCTATAGTAACACCCTGTACCTCTACTGTAACACCCTGTACCTCTACAGTAACACCCTGTACATTTACAGGTAACACCCTGTACCTATACAGGTAACACCCTTTATCTCTACAGTAACACCATATACCTCTACAGTTACACCCTGTACCTCTATAGTAACACCCTGTTACTCTATAGTAACACCCTGTACCTCTACTGTAACACCCTGTACCTCTACAGTAACACCTTGTACCTCTACTGTAACATCCTGTGCCTCTATAGTAACACCTTGTAACTCTTTAGTAACACTCTGTACCTCTATAATACCACCTGTACCTCTTTAGTAACACCCTATACATATATAGTAACACCCTGTACATATTTAGTAACACCCTGTACCTCTACTGTAACACCCTGTACCTCTACATGTAACACCCTGTACCTCTACCGTTACAACCTGTACCTCTACATGTAACACCTTGTACCTCTACAGTAACACCTGTACATATATAGTAACACCCTGTACCTCTATAGAAACACCCTGTACATATATAGTAACACCCTGTACATATATAGTAACACCCTTTACCTCTACAGTAACACCCTGTACCTCTACAGTAACACCCTGTACCTCTATAGTAACACCTGGTAAGTCTACATGCAACTGCCTTTAAATACTGCCATATATCATTGTATATATGTACCATGGAATAGTTATACTAATGAGCATGAATGATTGATTTGTGGTGGTATCGGATGGGAGCTGAGCTATATATAAATGTCACGGTGGTCTATTGTTACTGTAACATCAATATCGGTGGCCAGTTATCCCGTCAGTGTGCTACCTACACTCCACAATCAATTGTCAGCTCCAGAAAATTCACCCTATATCCATGTTGACTTTCCTGTGTCACATGTCTGATGTCCCAGTGTAATTACGTGATCTCAGGGACCTACTGTAGCCAGCACAGCAGTTTCATCACCACATCTATGTACATGTTTTAACGTACCAACTATTAATAGTGAAGGTAGTACTTCACTCAGGAATTGTGATTCAGGAATGGATTATCAGTGAGAGCAGGTTACCATTGTGCATCACAACAAGACAGAGGGTCATGTACCGTAACTAATAGTATTATGTGATAACAGCTGTCGATTATTGTACTGACAAGACAGAAATTTAGTGACACCTGACTGGAGCACAATGTGTCCATGTGTAACAGTTCGGTTACACAGTATAGACAGCTATAAGATATGATATTATACAGAAATCATGTGACAACATTTAGATTTTGGTTTTCAAACTGTTCTATAAATAGAAAATTTTGTATAAACCATGGCTGTGTCGTGGAGGGAGTCGCAGCTCCCTACAATCACGTGGCTGTCCGTAAACACAGTCTCTCAAATACTTTCTTGATTATTCAGGGGTATTTTGCTGAAATTTCAGTGAGGTATTTTTTTAACCTTTATGTTTCAATGTGAAGCTTAATGAGTGAAGCAGGGGACATGGGTAAACAGCTATTGGTGGCGTTAACCCGACGTATAAACAATCTCAGATCCGCACTAGGGTTCGATGTTTCCAATTCAGATCGGGAGGAGAAAGCTGTGACTGCCGTCAAAAGAGACCCTATCATGGCTGAGAATTTTCTTCAAAGACTCAAACAGAAAAAATCGGACAAATACCTCAACATTGAAGTCAGAGTAAGTATGCCAAATCTCATTTCTCACCTTTTTTTTCTCGTTCATACCTCTACATCTTTATGGAAGCATACACCCACTGTCCATAGCATGGAAGTAGTAATATACTGTGATAACCTGTAAACTAGATAGTACCTTACCATACTATGGTGGTCAGTGGTCAAGGTTTCACAGTCAAATGTTTCATTTGACAGCTTATGCAATAAAAAGAAGAAACAATTTTATTAGTAAAGCATTTTATCATTGTTTTCTTTTTGTGTTACTTTTTTGGGCTTTCCACCAACTGGTGCAAAGACCTATTGTTTCTTCTTCTTATCATTTTTCTTCTGAAATTTATGGACTTTTCATTTTTGACCTGTACGACATCTGTTTATAGTCAATTTATTATGTTGTATGTATATATCTGAAATTGTAACATTTTTAAATAGGTCATAAATCCAATATTGCCTCCATGATGTCATATTAAATCCTTGATTGTACAAATTTTTTTGCACAATGTTTGTGCAATTATATTATTTGTAGATAATTTCCATATCTATCTTTTTTCATAACATGTTAATACAAAATATGTCAGATAAAGCCTGCTTTAGGTCAAAAGTAACAAATAACTTTTCCCTTCTTTTGTTGTTTCTTTTGAGAACTTCTGTCACCATTGGATGCAGAATGTAGTTTTGAAGATTTTTTGAAGCATTTACTGTTAATGTTCGATGCCATCAGATAGAGTATTTCAAGTCCAGAATGGAATGACCCTTTCTGATGTTCATTAGCAGGAAATGGGTGTACCACAAGGCAGCATTCTCTTGGTTACATTTTTTGGACTTTAGATGAACAGTATTGTCAAAACATTCTCCCCTTCAATGGAGGACACTCTTTATTTTGATGATTTCATTATATGCTATCGATCTAAGCATATGAATACCGTCGAAAGACAACTACAGCAATGTTTGAATCGACTACAAATTTTGGCAGATGAAAATGGATTTAAATTTTCACAATCAAAAACAGTTTGTATGCTTTTTTGTCAAATTTGGAAACAACACAACTATCCAAATCTCTCTCTTTGTGGTGTACCCATTCCGGTTGTTGAGCAAACCAAAAAAAAAAGAAAAATTTAGCTAAGAATTTATACAGCTCTTATCAGATCAAAATTAGACTATGGTTCCATTGTGTATGGATCTGCTAGACCTTCATATCTCAAATTATTAGACGCTGTTCATCACCAGGTTCTGAGACTCGCTTTCGGAGCTTTTAAGACTTCACCTACAACAAGAAATTTTTTTTATCATAACGTTGTGAGTCCAAAGACCCTTTTTGAAACTGTTGAGATTTGTAAAATTCTAGGTTACCTGAAAGATGTTGGTCTATATAATAGACTATGACGAACCATTTTGATCTTTTGTGATAATATACACAATGAAGATTTTTAATATTTGTCTTTTACGTTTTAGTTTGTTTGTCGTTATTTTCTTTTGGATTGCTGTGTGTTTTACTGGTTGATGGCTCTAATGACCTTTTATGTGTTTTGGTCGTTAAAATGTCATGATAATAACTTTTGAAAATTTCCTTTTATCTTTAAAATACTGGCATATTGATCAAACTTATTTTCAATTACTTCTGCTACGTTTACTTGTTATTGGGAAAGTTCCCCAGTTTTTCTCTAATATTTAGTGATATTTTGACTTCATCAGAAAAACAAAATGGTGCTATGAGGTAATATCTGATTTTGCCTTAATTGCTATAACTCATTAATGGCTGAATATATTGTGTTTATCTTTGGATATATTCTGTAAAATAATAAATAAATAACATGTCTCAGGATACATTTTTTGTAAAATGTCCACTTCTGGTTTATCATTAGTAGTCAAAGTTCAAATTTGTAATTTTCTGAAACAATCTTTCAAAACTTTCTTCTCTAATTCTACAAGGCCTGAGGCAAGATATTTTATTCTCAAGATGTTTACAACATTGTCACTCAAGTTAGTAAATATCAATGACTTTGGCCCAATTTTAAGGTCACAGTGGTCAGTTATGTCATTTTTCACAATGCCAGAGGCAGATGATGAAGAAATTTTGTTTTTAGCATACTGTGATCAATTGCTGTTGAATGTAATGATCAAACCTTCTCTGAAAATTCAACTTCTGGTTTTTGGTAGGGGTTTAATTTGAAAATTGCTTTTTTGGATCACAAACTTTGAAAATTTTGTTATCAAGTTCTGCAAGATCAAAGGCCTTGAAATTTCAAACATATGAAGTTCTGGTCATTAACCTACATGGTGATAAAAATTCTGTCAGTAGTATGTAGTGATCAGTGAATGTAATAATTAAACCTTGTCTGGAAATTCAACTTCCAGTTCTCCATAAGCATCAGTGTTGAACATTGATAATAATACATGATGTCAGATTGTACAAGTGTCAGATTATACAGGTTATCAGAATAGTTAGTGGTCAGATTAGACAGGTTGTCAAAATACTTTGTGGTTAGATTAGACAGGTTGTTAGTATACTTAGTGGTCAGATTAGACAGGATGTTATAACAGTACTTAGTGGTCAGATTAAACAGGTTGTTGTCAGAATACTTAGTGGTCAGATTAAACAGGTTGTCAGAATACTTTGTGGTCAAATTAGACAGGTTGTCAGAATACTGAGTGGTCAGATTAGACAGGTTGTCAGAATACTTTGTGGTCAAATAAGACAGGTTGTCAGAATACTGAGTGGTCAGATTAGACAGGTTGTCAGAATACTTTGTGGTTGGATTAGACAGGTTGTCAGAATACTTAGTGGTCAGCTTAGACAAGATGTTGTCAGAATACTTAGTGGTCAGATTAGACAGGTTGTCAGAATACTTAGTGGTCAGATTAGACAGGTTGTCAGAATACTTTGTGGTCAGATTAGACAGGTTGTCAGAATGCTTTGTGGTCAGATTAGACAGGTTGTCAGAATACTTAGTGGTCGGATTAGACAGGTTGTTGTCAGAATACTTAGTGGTCAGCTTAGACAAGATGCTGTCAGAATACTTAGTGGTCGGATTAGACAGGTTGTCAGAATACTTAGTGGTCAGCTTAGACAAGATGTTGTCAGAATACTTTGTGGTCAGATTAGACAGGTTGTCAGAATACTTTGTGTTCAGATTAGACAGGTTGTCAGAATACTTTGTGTTCAGATTAGACAGGTTGTCAGAATGCTTTGTGGTCAGATTGGACAGGTTGGCAGAATACTTTGTGGTCAGATTAGAGGGGTTGTCAGAATACTTAGTGGTCAGATTAGACAGGTTGTCAGAATACTTTGTGGTCAGATTAGAGGGGTTGTCAGAATACTTAGTGGTCGGATTAGACAGGTTGTTGTCAGAATACTTAGTGGTCAGCTTAGACAAGATGCTGTCAGAATACTTAGTGGTCAGATTAGACAGGTTGTCAGAATACTTAGTGGTCAGCTTAGACAAGATGTTAGATTGCTTCTTTGTCACATTAGAAAAAGTAATCTTGTTGAATGCTTTCGCAGAATAACTTAAAATCTTTATCCTCATTTTAGTGATTTGTTTAAGAGCAGCTCCCTTCACAATAAGTTAGTGCTCTTTGACTAGAGGACTTACAGGTTTTCAGTGGTGGAGATATTGACTAGACAGCTGAGTGGGTGTAGACCATCTGTGTGGATTTCAGACAGTATAAAGTGCTTAAGTTTCACATGTAAAATGGACTTCCTATTTGAAATTTGTGAAATTGAAGGCTTCACATTTGACAGAATCATGAATATATTCATATCGATTAGAATCTTGGTGCTCTCATCTCCCATCAGACTAGCCAAAATGTAAGTTTTATGATCATACAAGCATCCTGTTTTAGTCCCAGTGAAATTCCAAAACTCTGCATTGTAAAATCAATGATGAAGAGAAATGGCACTCACTTAATTCCACAGGTTTTACCTCAGTATTTTGGATTCAAATCTTAATCTTTTAGACAAAGACCCAATATTCTATAATCATATTCAAATGTCAAAATGAGATGGGTCTTTTATGAAAATTTACAGTTTTTCATTAGAAGTCAGACAGGGGAATGCTTGGGTAAGATCCTAACTCAGCTCCCTGAATAACTTGTCATTTTCCTATAACATCAGTTTCCAGCCTCTGAATCTGTCAGTAGGTGTCATTCCCACAGTGTGAGATGATAATGTGAGTATTACAACATCCCCGACCAAATCTCACATAAATCTATTTTACACAACAAAAACAATAGTTATAGGACTAAAAAGACCAAAATAACAGCATACAACATAGATATTGACGCTGTAGATGTTGCACACTCTCAATTAATTTTCCTTATATGGAATTTTTTTAGTTCATTCTATAAAGTGTCTATAGTTTTTGCATCAAAGCTATATCTAAGGTTTGATTTTATTTCTGAACACATTAGGGAATTCTTGTAAAAGATTACAAAACACTTTCACATCTATTGTTATTTCTTGCGTCACATACAAAAACTAAGATCTACAAATTCCGATGCCAGTTACCTACTGCTCAAGTGTTGCTGTCTTGCTTTGTATGTAATTTGTTTGTAACACAGTCAGGGATCATTTTGTTTGTAACACAGTCAGGGATCATTTTGTTTGTAACACAGTCAGCGATCATTTTGTTTGTAACACAGTCAGGGATCATTTTGTTTGTAACACAGTCAGGGTAACACAGTCAGGGATCATTTTGTTTGTAACACAGTCAGGGATCATTTTGTTTGTAACACAGTCAGGGTAACACAGTCAGGGATCATTTTGTTTGTAACACAGTCAGGGATCATTTTGTTTGTAACACAGTCAGGGTAACAGTCAGGGATCATTTTGTTTGTAACACAGTCAGCGATCATTTTGTTTGTAACACAGTCAGGGATCATTTTGTTTGTAACACAGTCAGGGTAACACAGTCAGGGATCATTTTGTTTGTAACACAGTCAGGGTAACACAGTCAGGGATCATTTTGTTTGTAACACAGTCAGGGTAACACAGTCAGGGATCATTTT